CTGAACTGGGCTAATTTGCCTCGGTAAAAATTCAGGTCTCAATGTGGAGTTGAATGTTACATCTATTGATTTATTTTTAAGTGGTAGCTTAGAAGGTTTCCTCTATCTCACAAATACTGGCACTTAATATATTCCGAGTTTACACTGCACTAGAACTATAGCCTTCTTTATATGCAACAGTAGTAACAAACATTGGTCCAAAATACTTCCCTAAGCGGGTTTGAAACCGGTGGATGATGGAGCAAAGGCATTTGTGTGGATTGGCTCCATGAAGTCCTCCTTTTATGTTTACGTATGGGGGTGGTCTGATCCAGCACACACAGAAGTCAACGGAAAACTCCCATTACCATCATTGGGAGCTGGACTGGGTTAAGAAAGTGAAAGCGCAGGATTCTCCAGAATCCCACTGACATTTCTCAGCCCAGACCGCCTCTATGAGAGGATAGCTAGTTTTTTATGCTCATTTAGAACCTGGCTATCTGCTGAGATTGTACCAGTTGTGGTGATGGTTTTGTTATATGGGTATATGCCCCTTACGAAGTACATTGAGTCCACGAGAGCCATGAGTTTATAGCAACTTTCAAATGCTGTAATTCTGAGCCAGATAAAACTGGTGACCTGGAGGGAACAGTTTCTATTAATAAACAAACAGCTGAAGTAAAACGGTTACAATAGTGAGTGATATTACAGTTCAACAGGCAACAGTGCTAGCAGCATGAAACCTAAATCAATCAATTTTAAGGTTTATCAATGAGTATTTTATTTATCAATGAGTATTTAAGCTGTATTATGCTGCGTGAGAGACAGATTCTCTGAGGCACTAAAGTGTCTCCTGTAAACTGTTGAGCACGTGTCCCTTCCATTGAGACTAATGGGAGTGGTAAATATTCCACACACAGCAGGAGACGTTCAGCAAATTTTGGGCTGGATCTTAAGAACTCAAATTATTTCCTACTCTAAGCATAAGGTTTACAAGGCAAAAGACCTCTTTTTATGATCTGCCTGTGTGGCAATGCACATTCGTTAGTTATGCCTTGTTATGTAATTTAGTCATATCTAAAGTTCATACTACACAGAATTCAAGCAGCATTCTGACCATCATTTCATCATGTGTTACACATCCCTCAAAGCTAGACCCTTTGCAGAATCTTCTTATATTAAGCATGAATACTTCTGTTTCTTTTATTTTGTGTGTATATATACACACACACACACATATATATATACACACACAATTTTTTAGTTTAACATGGATATAAGCAGAACAGTTTCATTATTAGCAAAATTCAACATGTATATAAGCAGAATAGTAATACTCTAGTACTTGTTGATATTATTTTCATTAAAATAATGAACATGACTAAAGAGCACTGTAGATATTATTTCAGTCTACTTCTTATGACAGTAAATTGTGTTTTGACTAACACGGAGTAAATTCATTACAGTCTGTCACTCCACAAAAGCTGGCCATTTAAAGTCTCAAACTGTTTTAGATTTGTTTTAAGTAAAATCAAACAAATAAACAAATGTGAATGAAGGCTCTTGTACAATTGACCATCAAGTGTTTGAGAAAACATTTTGGAAATGGTAAGAGCAGCTGGTACATTAACAACAACAAAGTAACACTTTACACTAACTTTACATTTTCTTCTTAAGATCTCAGGGCACTTAAAAAAAGGTAGGAAAAAAATATTCCTGATGGGGAAATGAAATGTTAAAGTGACTTGTCCAAGAACACACAGGAAATCTGTAGGGCATAGACCACAGGGGCCAGCTCCATCACTGGTGTGAATTGGAGTAATTTACTACTATGGAACTATGCCTGCCTATGCCAGCTGAGGATCTAGCCCCAGGGCACTGTACTAGTCACTTGCTTTAAACAGCGACAGAGTCCTGTGGCACCTTATAGACTAACAGACGTACTGGAGCATGCTCCAATATGTCTGTTAGTCTATAAGGTGCCACAGGGCTCTTTGTCGCTTTTTACAGATCCAGACCAACATGGCTACTCCTTTGATACTTGCTTTAAACACTAGATTAAATGAAGTGCTTGGCTATGTAGCCACTGTTGCTATATACTGTCAAACAAATATTTAGTCTATTCCTCCAGCCAACAGATCCACTCTCCTAAAACCCAGAATTCAACAGATAATAGAAGTCAGCTGTTTTTTTCTTTAAGCTTTATATAGCTTTTTAATTACATCCAAAAGACAGAACCTACTACTGAGACACTGAGAAGAAAGGAAATCAAGACTTTCTAGCAGAATCTGAAAACTATTTGGTTTGAAACAGTAGACAACAACAGGTTTTCTCCACACTGTTGCTTTACTTTTTAATATCAATCTAAATGACTAGAACTCTGTATGGGAGTAAGTGGTGGATTTAAATCTACAAAAATTTGTCTTAAGAAAAATAATACGACACAACTGTTATATTTACATGTATTTGCATTATGACAGCTCAGTGTCCTGTCATTTAAAAGTCATGCAAGGTGTCGAGGCTGATTCCCCACTCTGGCACTTTGAGTGCAGAGGGTGGGGGCCTACAAGGATTCTAAAAATTAATACTGGCCACTCTAGGCTTGTATTAAACTCCCAAGGTTACAGCTTTTCTCTGACCTTGGATGGGTAGATGCTGCCACCACTCAAGTGCAGAACCCCTTTGAGAGCCCAGGAAGGTGCACTTGGGAGTTCTTTCCTGTGGTGTACCCTCAAGCCCTTTCACCCCCCTTCCGGGGAAGAGCTGAGAAAGAAAAAAGAAGGAAATCAGCTGTTGCCATCAGCTAATTAAACACCATGTGCACAAACCTCTTAAGACACAAAAATCCAATTCTCTTCTTAAAAAAGGTAAATTGTATTTTCTTTCTTTTTTTTATTAATAAATCTGGGAACTCAGGCTATTGCTAGATTTTATAAGAGCAATACAAGGATTAAGCATCAAGAATAGCTTTCTTGAGGTCCAGCTTAAAGGTTAAAAGCAAAACAAAAGCACCTGGGCTTAGCCCAGAGGAGTCCACAAGCCATAAAGAAATAAAAAGGATAAACCTAATCGCGTCTTCCTAGACATTCCCTGATCTACTTACATATCTGGGGTTTTAAATGAGTAGTTTCTAGGTATGATACTGAGGATTTTTCATACCTGGCCCAAAGCTTCTTACAGCATAACTGCTGCTCTGTCCCCTCTCCAGCAGATAGAGCCACCACAGACAGACAAAAAGGGAGTCTTTGCTCAATTTTAAAAAGTTCTAGCCTTCCCATTGGCTCTTTTTGCCAGGTGCCTACTCACTTCCTTTTACCTATGCATAGCAGTGAGACTTTTTAACCCTTTAGAGGTAGAGCAATTAAAGAACAGCTACAAAGAAGGATTTTATAGCTACTGGCTGGCTAGGTGTCCATAAAAGGGAGATACCCCCGTCTCCTTTCATTTATCACACAAGGTCAAAACTGAAGCTGTTTCAGCTGGAGGATCCATGCAGTTGCAGCTTTGACAAATAATACAGAGCAGCTGCAAGTTAAGGTATGTTAAAGAAGATGTGTGTGAATGGAAATTGCCTTTAATGTGTAGCTATATTGTACAATAAGCATAAAAATAAGGCAGCTAAGGTACTGTTAAAGACCAAATGTGATCTCTAATCACTTTTATTATTGAAGTGTCACCCAAAAGCCCCGATCAGGGTCCCACTGTGCTCAGTGGGTATAGGTGATGAAGGTAAGAGCAATAAGTTTGGCTAGCTGTGTTCAAAATTGGACGGTTTATGTTTTAGCTGTTATAAAATGCTCTCTACTTTCTCTAGCCTTTTTTTCCCTGTGCAGATACCCTATACCTACTCAGGAAATCTCCACAGCATT